CATAACAGTAGCAAAATTACAGTTATACAGTAGCAATGAAAATAATTTTATGATTGGGGGTCACCACAACATGAGGAACTGTATTAAAGGGTGGTGGCATTAGGAAGGTTGAGAACCACTGATCTAAGGGAAAAGAGGTCAAAACCCCTGACTAAATAGTCTGGTATTGCATGTTTTAAAAACTGTTGCATACACCAGTTGCAAATCATGACATTAGACTTTCAAGATTTAGGTACTACACTCATGGTATCCTAAAAGAATGGGAATTCCACAATCATAGGCGGTAACAGCAGAATTCTTTTTGAACAGTGTGTTGTAATGTGCTGAGATTTACCTATGCCTAATTATGTGGATCTGCAGATTCTATCCAGTTCTAATGGCACCTAAAGAAACAAGTCATCGAAGATAATAGTACAAATGCAAATCATAGAGAGAATAATAACAGCAGAAACATAAAACAAAAATATGGTTTGACAACTGTATAAAAAAATTTTAGACCCTTTGAAATAAGGCACTATATGAACCTCACTTTAAGTGTACATTTAGCATTGAGATATTATCTAATCAAAGTAGTACATGTATATATATTATAAACAAACAGTTGAAGTGTATTTGATTTTTTTCCTACTAAAATGATGCACAATCAAAAAGTGAAGATATTGATCCAATGAAATAAGACAACTCAACTCTGGCCTTTAAAAAAAAATCCCTTGGTAAACTTTCTTTTTGTTAAATAAAATATGTTAGCCCTGGCCAATTTGGCTCACGTCAGCCAGCAGACCCGAGAGACCCAGGTTTGGTTCCCACTAAGGGCATGCACCTTGTTTGCAGTTTGTCCCCGGCCCTGGTTGGGGTTGTGTGGGTGGCAAACACTCAACGTGTCTCTTTCACATCGATGTTTCTCTCTCTCTCTCTCTCTCTCTCACTCTATCTCAAGATGAATGCAAAAAAAAAAATTTTTCCTCAGGGTGAGGATAAAAAAAAAAAAATGTTATGTTAAATAACATCCTCTTATAACTGATGGAGGGGGGATAGTGGTATGTGCAGAAAAAGAGCCCTGGCCGGTTTAGCTCAGCGGTTAGAGCGTCGGCCTGCGGTCCGGAGAGACCCGGGTTCGGTTCCCGCTAAGGGCACGTACTTCGGTTGCAGTTTGTCCCCGACCCTGGTTGGTCGTGCGGGTGGCAGCCATTCGATGTGTTCCTTTCACGTCGATGTTTCTCTCTCTCTCTCTCTCCCTCCCACTCTATCTGTACAAAAATTGGAAAAATGTCCTCGGGTGAGGATAAAACAAAAACAAAAACAAAAACTACCACTACAGTTTACACAATAAAGGCACCAATAAAAAGTATGATTATTTGAGGATTCTGTATTTGCAAATAAGGGTACTTGCTGAAATTCATCTATAACTTCAAAATAAATACTCAGCGGTGCTTTCTAGGTCTTTCAAAGATATGCACAGAGCACGGAAAAATTTGAGTTGCTCAATGTAAGTTCCCAGTTGAGGTTAAACAAGGAGATGCTTTTATATTCTTGCTTCAGCTCTCATACTGTATTTTGTTTTGTTTTGAATCCTCACCCGAGGACATTTTTTTTTTTTTTTTGCATTTATCTTCAGACAGAGTGGGAGGGAGAGAGAGAGAAACATGGATGGGAGAGACACACATCGAGTGGTTGCTACCCACATGACCCCAACCTGAGCCAGGGACAAACTGCAAGCAAGATATGTGCCCTTAGAGGGAACCGAACCTGGGACTCTCTGGTCTGCAGGCCGACACTTTAATCGTTGAGCCAAACCCGCCAGGGCTCGGCTCTCATACTGTAAATAGGTGTCCTTTTGGCAGTATATTTAGTACCATGTTATTTACTTTTTGTTGGCGAATTCACTGTTTAAAATGGCTCCCAAGTGTAGTGCTGAAGTGCTGTCTCATTTTCACCAATGCAAGAAGGTTGTGATGTGCCTTATGGAGAAAATATGTGTATCAGACAAGCTTCATTCAGGCTCATGAGTGACAGTGCCTTTGGCCATCTGTTCAATGTTAATGAAACAACAACATATATTAAACAAGGTGTCTTTAACAAAAAAACAAAATTTTTTTAAGTTATATATTGTTTGGCTGATGAAAATGTGACCAGAGACTTGCAGAAACCTAACTTTGTATTTCATCTGGGAGTCATGATTCAGTATTTATTAATTCAGTTTGTGGTGACTTTATAGAACATAACTACGAGAATAACCAAAAATGACTTACATCCCTGGTCAATTTTTTTTTTCAATCCTCACCCGAGGATATTTTTCCATTGATTTTCAAATAGAGTGGGAGGGAGGGGGGAGAGAGAAACATAGATGTGAGAGAGACACATCAATTGGTTGCCTTCCACACGACTCCAACCAGGGCTAGGATTTGAACCTCAACCAAGGTACATGCCCTTGATCAGAATGGAATCAGAAACGCTTTAGTCTGCAGGCTAACATGCTAACCGCTGAGCCAAACCAGCCAGAGCTCCTTGGTCATTTTTATCTTAATATGAGTTTCTTTTGCCTTATAATCTATTCCACATTTAAAGTTATACCACCACATTAAACTTATTAGTTTCTAAATTTTAAGTGTGCTGTAACTGAGTTACTTATTCAGTCCTTTGTATAAAAGGGGGAATACTGGTTGTATTTAAATTAAAATTATACATTACAACAAGTTTGTTTCAAATGTGTCCAACTATACTTTTATTGTTTCTGTTCAAAGAGGCTCTCATAAAGTCACTACTATTGTTTGCATGAGCTGTGATATAATACATAATAATGTATATAGTACAGTTGACCTTGAGTTGAGGCACCAATTTCCCCAAAACTTAACTACTAATAGCTGACTGTGACCAGAAGCCTTATTGATAACATAAAGTCGATTAGGTATTTTGTGTTATATTATTACATACTTTATTCTTACAGTAAGCTAGAGAAAAGAAAATGTTAAGAAAATCATAAGGAAGAAAAAATACTGTACCCACACGTAAGTGGGCCCATGCAGTTCAAACCCATAAGGGTCACTGCACAACCAATAGAATCAGTTTCTTTGCTTTATACAATCATATAACTCTATTACTTGAGCCAAACATGAACATCAATGAATCAGGGGTTGGTAGCTCCATTTAAAGACAAGACTATAATCCTCTAACTAGACAAGTCAATCAATTTCACCCACTTTGTAAAAGGCCCCTTTTAAATGAAATCTGCCCTGCTAAACAGCTCCTACAGAAGGAGTAGCCCTATGTAGGTGAGTCAGTCTAACATAATGGATTTCAAGGTATAAAGATCTGGAGGCAAACCCCAATTATACAGAAGTCAACCTACACATAGAGTGGGGCCACAGGATTTTATGGCAGATCAAAGTTGAAAATAAGTAGAAGTTAAGAGAAGAGAGAAAAGACAGAAGAAAATTATAAGCCACATGGTAGCCAAACAAAAAGCAGCTCACACTGGAGGATAGCTAAAAACATAAATGCCAGTGAGAACTGTACTCCTGCTGCATATAAGAGCCTTCTATAGTTTGTTTTGATTTTTAGAACTTGGTCTTCCTGTTATAGCTATGTTTCTGTTGAGATTCTGGTTTTTAAATCCCATGACCTACAAGCACCGACCACCATCCTATCCCCATTTGAAGTGGCTTATCCCAAACAGGGTTGGAAAATTGTATTAGAGACTGTAAGAGCCAAGCATTCAAAAGGGTGGGGGAGTTCCTAGACAAACTAAGGTCCTTTCCAACCCCAAGGTCAGGATTCTAAGCTGTGACCCTACTTACATTTTCTTCAAGGTAACACAAATCCACACAAATTTACCATTTCTGAGCAGTAGCTCCTGTTACAGACTCAAAATGGTCCTTTAAACAGGTGTGCCCTAGTTCCAATTTCTAAGTTTTCCTGAACATCCTTTTGGCTTTATGACTCTACAGATATCAATAAATTTTGTTAAGCCTTATTTCCGGTATTAAGTCCTTATCTTTTCACTATTACACCAAGCACCCTGCCACTGCTAATCCAGTGCAGTATTTTACACCACATACACTGTAGTAAATTTTTTTCATTGAGCAATGCTCCTTGGGTATCTTTCTCTGTACATAAACACCTATCCCATTCTTTTAAAAAGGCTGGCATGTTGTTCCATTATACAAACGCACCATAATCAATATTTCACCAATTTATTAATGGACCTTGGGTTGCTTCCAGTTATTTACTATTACACACAATGCTATGTGTCAACATCTTTCTCTATGTATACCTGTGAGTATGCAAGAGTTTATCATTAGATTATTTTAGGTTGCTACTTTCGAAACTGAGTTTTGATATGCCTTGAACGAAGAACAAAGACTAGAAAGCACTCAAACTCTCCCTGCAGATGCAAATATAATTAGCAATTAATAGCTTTCCATTAAATATAGATAAAAGACTCGGAAAATTTTGTTTCCGCTTAGGTGCAGAGATAATGACAAACCAGGACCAGAGAGTTTGAGTGTAGCACGATGCTTTTGATAATGTTCACATAAAAAATAAAAGTAAAAGGACAATTAAAAAAAAACAACGAATAAATTGTTCCTTTTTTGGAAACGAGTTCTCAAGCCAAGAAAATACTTTAATTATTGAAGAATTTTAGATACCTCGGATACGAGGTTAAGAAATAATAGAAGTCTTAACAGGTGAACTTTGAAACTTCAATTTGATTCTTTAATGTTCCCAATTTCAGAAAGTTCAAAGGTTATGATGTGTGCTTTAAAATATTATGTATACGTATACACTTAAAAAGAAATGATAAACACGTCACAGCTCCTGCCTTCTTTGGACTCTCTCCCCCTCCGCCTGCCAGAGGAGGGAGACCCGAGCGGCGCCGGAGCCGCATCCACGCCCCGCCGGCCGCAGGCCCGCGCTCGGGGTCCGGGGCCGGTAACGGCCGGCAGGGCGAGGGGCTTCCCAGGCCGACCCGGCGACGAGCGGCCGCCGCTCGAGACGCTCACCTCAGTTCCTCGTCGACACTCTTGCCGGGCTCCTGTTCAGCCGCGGCGACCACAGAGGAAGTTGTAGAGGTCTTGTTCTTCAGGATCCCCTTTATGGGCCGGTGCGAAGCCGTCGAGGCCGCCATTGCGCGCCCCTCGGGCGGTCGGCTCAGTATCGCGGCTTGGCGTGGGGTCCAAGGAGGAAAGGAAGAGCCGCGAGCCGAGACTCGCCAGGCAGCCGCCGAGCCCGCTTGGGGCTAAAGCGGCCGCACCTGCTGTCGCGGAGCTGGCGTCGTTTTCACGACACAACGACCCCGACGCTTTGGCGTCTGGCCGACGCCGCGCGGCTGACGGTTCTAGCGCGCCCTCCGCCACCGGCACTTTATCTGTGACCGGCGGAGAGAAGCCGGCCTACCGCCCCAGCGCGGGAGCGACGCCGACGCCGAAGCCAAGCGGGCCCGCCCTCTCGCGATATCTAGGGTGGGGCGGGGCTAAAACAAAGCCAACCTTCTCGCCCCGCCCCCTCCTGGCTCTGTCTGTCGACCTGCCAGTGCTATTGGCTCAGGGAGCCGGGGAGATGCTTAAGAGAACCTTCAGAGAGGTTCTTGGCTTGCCTCTGTGCAGAATGCTACAGCTCTCCAAACACCCTCGTCCCCACCACCTTATGAGGGCCACATTGTTATTAATATACTTGTAGGTGGGAAAACTGAGACTCAAAGGTGACATCATTCCTCAAAGATATTAGCTGACTTTCAGAGAAGTATGTCTCGTCTTTTCTTCCATTTAACTCACATAAAAAGTTTAACTCTTAATTTTAAAATCAGGGAATATCAGCATTGAAATGATCATTAGAGACCTATTGTGAAATCATAGAATATTGACTTTTATGAAATCATAGAATATCAGCACTGAAATAGTCTAGAAATAAATTTTGGAGACATTAAAGGACACAGAGGGGAAATGACCTGATTTCTATTTTCACACAGCCCATCCATAGTGCGTAGTCACAGAGCTTCAGATGTCTGTCTTCTAGTCTGATGTTAATGCATTTTACCACATTCTCCATGTTGGTAATTCCGTGGAAGGTATTACTGGCAGAAGTTCCTATAATTGTGGGTTTATAAAGTCTTCCCCCCAAATCTAGGGAATTCACTTAAGGTAACTGTGTGTGCAACACTGGGTAAAAGAGGCCAGAAGCCTTGGAAGCTGTATAGGTCTTTGTGAGAGTCTCAAAGAAGAAAAAGGAAAGAAGCCCTCACACACTCCCCAAGGAGGACTTTGATAGGAAAGAAGGAGCCCTGGCAGGTTAAGCTCAGTGGTAAGAGCATAGGCTCAGACTGAAAGGTGGAGAAGGGTCGCTAGTTCAATTCCCGGCACATACCTGGGTTGCAGGTTTGATCCAGGCCCCTGTCGGGGTTGTGCAGGAGGCAACCAATCGATGTGTCTCTTTCATATAGATGTTTCTCTCTCTCTCTCTCTCTCTCTCTCTCTCTCTCCCTCCCTCCCTCCCTCCCTCCTTCCCTTCCATTCTATCTACAAAATCAGTGGAGGATATGAAAAATATCCTCAGGTGAGGATTAACCAAAAAAGAGAGAGAAGGAAAGACCTCAATGCTGTATCTGGGTTAGGAGTGGTGTGGATGTCATCAAGAGGGAAAGTGGTTCTAGGGAGTATAGGGAGTATAGAGAAGGGCAGAATTTCAAAGCTCTGGGAACCATCTCAGAACTATGCTATACCTACAATCAAGTAAGGACCAGCAGAGGGAGTGGTGTCTACTCTAGGCACCCAATCTCTCTGCATGCATTGTCAGCACTGGAATTGTACAGATGGGAAAAGAGGAGGTCTTGGCCATTAAGCGAGTTGCCTCCTGTTACGTGTTGAATTGTGTCCCTCTAAAATGAAGCTATGTTGAAGTCCTAACGCCCAGTACTTTAGAATGTAACAGCATTTGGAAATAGAGTAGTTGAAGATCAAATTAGTTAAATTAATATGAGGTCATACTGGAGTAGGGTGGGCTCCTACTCCAATATGACTAGTGTCCCTATAAAAAGCTAAACATGTGGAGACAGATAAGAAGGGGGACTCCATGTGATGACAGAGGACTGGAATGATGCATCGACAAGCCAAGGATCACCTGGACAACCAAGGCTGGGAGAGGCGTTAAATAGATTCTCCTTTAGGTTTCTCAAAAGGAATCAACTCTGCTGATACCTTAATTTTGGACTGTGAGACGTTAAATTTCTGTTGTTTAAAGCCACCCAGCTTGTTGTATTTTGTTATGGGAGCCGTATACACTTCTTCCCCTTCTACTCCTACCCACAGTCCTTAGCTTCCTTATCACCAGGCTTTTCCCCACCACTCTTACCTGATCAGGCCTCTTCATCATCCTTATGATAAAGTAGAGTAGGCCACCCAGAACTGGCCCCTCAGCAGACCAGCCCCCTCTGAATTCATAAACTACTAGATCTGGAAAGGGCCTTGTTAATCCCACCAGGTAGCTATCCTGTCCCTTGGCTAACAACTCCAATTGCCAGGAGCTCTCCACCCAAAAACACAGCTCATTTTATCTTTAGACAACTCTAAGAAAACTCCTCCTTTAATTGAGCTGACACCTGGTTCCCAGCAATGTCTGGCCACTGCAGTGGGTGGGAGGAGAGAATGTGGGTGAGGGAAGGGCTACCTCTATCTTAACCCAATGGCAGTGATCTCACTCAAGCCTCCTATTTCTAGGCCCAAATCTCATCTCCCTGAACACAGCATCTGTGCCTCGAGAAGCAACATTTAGTTCATTGTCCTTAGAACTCTGCTCCTCAGGAACGACTTCAGGCTTCCTGAAAATGATTGTTTTTATTGCCTGGCCCTCGGCCTGTAGCTGAGTTCCTGGCATGGACCCAGCCTCAGTAAAGGAATGAATGCTGAGTGGAGATAACAGAGGAGGAAGTGAGCAGGCAGGACAGAAGAGCAACAACTTTGCCTGTCTGAGCTGCATGTTTTCCTTAGGGATCTCCCCAAGTGGCCTTCACAGCCACACTGTGGTGCCTCTCTCTTGGCCCCATCCCTGTTCCTAGCCACAGGTTTCCCACTGTTAAGTGGATCTGACATCACACTCTGACAGCCCTGCCCAGCCCCTGAGGCAAAGAGGGTTCTCATTAAGGGGTTAGCAGGATAGTCAACTCCCTTCCTGAACTCTTTTTTACTGCAGGTTCCAACACTTGCCTCTCCTGCCCTGTCAGCAGGAGCTCCGTTCAGCGGTGGTAATCCTGTTTTCAAGGGAATACATAAAACCTCCCTTTATGTTCTAAATTATTGGGCTGATTTGCTTTGTTCCTGCTTGAGCCTGGCTGTCACCTCCCTGAACCTAACTGTGACTGGGCCCTTAATTTAGCATAGCCTTGCTCTGACACACTCTAATGAAAAGGGCTGCCGCAGTATGACACAACATGATTTATTACAGTTAATAAAAAGTGCTGGGACAGGAGGTGATGAGGAGTTCTCTGAAGAACCTTGAAAAATCTTTCCCTCATTAAAAGTCAAACTTTTGCTTCCTGTATTATCTCTTCCACCTCGAATCCCACTCAAAGTGAATGTATATGGAGATGACTTTCTTAATGTTTAAAAAAATAAGGAAATATTAGTTTGACTGCAAGATTGTGAGTGCCAGTACAGCTTTTCTTTATATTACAGAATCATTGAACCACTTTGTCCGCCAGTGTGGCCCAAAGAAGATTGCCAAATGCGTCTAAACAGGGCTCTCCTTCGATGCCTCTGTTGAGATCCGCTCTTGTGCAGTCATCTGGACCAAGCCTGAATTTTGCTGTATTTGTGTTACGTTTCCTGTGTGTCCAAGAGATGGATTGTGGACAGAATCTTCCATTCTGCTTTCAGTTTTTGTAGGTAGTTATAGAGCTCAAGGCAAATCATATACTTTAAAGCATCTACCCGTTTAAGGGTTATCTGACAATTATTTCTGCTCTCTTTTTGAAGACTTCATCAGTTACCTGATTCAATGCTATTTATAGGGAAGAGGAGAGGAGATACTTTTAATGTACCCCCGTAAGTGGCTGAGTCAGTTGGCTCTGTGCTCACTGGAATAGGCTACTGAGGTCGACACTACTTGATTTCTCACCAAGAACAGAATTCCAAAGCTGGAAATAGCTTCTCCGGCTGGCTCCACCCTGCTGCCCTAAATCATCAACCAGGGTTCACCGAGTGGAGACATTTGAGTGCCCACCCCCCACCTCTGGAAAAGTACCTAAAGGTTGTGCCTTAATGAGCACTGAGTCAGCAGCATCTCTAGCACATTGTTCCTTTTTTTTTTCTTTAAATCAGGTAATCCTTCCACGGGATACTAAAACCACAGATTTTGTATTACTTGATAGAAATTCATGGTAGCAGGGGCAAGATTATTTAAACAAAATACAGAATGTAATAAAAAGAGAGAGAGAAAGCCAACGACAAAGATTAATCATTTTCTGTTTACAAAATGACTTTGATTTGCAACTGTGGCACTCCCTAGCTTTCTCTTCTTTTCAAAGGTATCTACCAGAAGGATTCCTTAGCCTCACCACAAAAGCTTCCAAGTTGCCAAATTCTCTTCTGAGGAGACTGCACGCTTGTTGGGTACACAAAGATTTTATTAGTTCCTAAGTGTTTCCCGACCCTTTAAAAACTAGTTAAATCAAGGGAAGCTAGAGAAGTACTTACTTTTTTTCCAAAGACTATCAGACAAAAAAAAAATGGGGAAAAAAAAAGGCAAGATACATAGTGCAAACAGTCATGCAATGGTAAATAGGAAATGTTCATTATTTTCTTGGCCGAACTACAAATTTCTCTTGTGCTTGCCAGAAATCATTCAGTTTTTTGTGGCTATAAATTTTCCATAAGTGCCCTGGCCAGTTTGGCTCAGCGGTTAGAGTGTCAGCCTGTGGTCCAGAGAGACCCGGGTTCAGTTCCCGCTGAGGGCGCGCATTTCGGTTGCAGTTTGTCCCCGGCTCTGGTTGGGTCATGCTGGTGGCAACCACTCGATGTGTCCCTTTCACGTCGATGTTTCTCTCTCTCTCTTTCTCTCTCTCCCTCCCACTCTATCTGAACAAAAAATGAAAAAATGTCCTCAGGTGAGGATAAAAAAATAATAATAATAATAATAAATAGATTTTCCATAAGTGTCAGCTGGTCTGGTTTGTCAATTTTGTGAGAAACAAGCAATACCCTTTACTGTAATTTTATTGTGCTAATTTTCCAGATTCTTATGCATTATATTATTCTGTGAACTCATAATGTAATAAGGAGTATAGACTTTGATTCAGAATACATGTGATGTTAAAGCCTATATAGTCATTGTTTACAATAGGAAGACTTTATGCTGTAATACTGTGTTTATGTCCCTTGCATTTGTTCTAGTTTGAAATTTCTCAAATATGTAGTAATAT